CTCTTGCCTGCTGTTCCTCCCCCCCCCCCCCCCCCCCCCCCCCCCCCCCCCCCCCCCCCCCCCCCCCCCCCCCCCCCCCCCCCCCCCCCCCCCCNGCCCCGAGAGCGACACAAGCACCAGTCGCGAGGTACAGCCACGGAGGCGGCTCGCGAGGAGGAGCAGCGGGAGGAGGAGGAGGTGGAGGGAGCGCGGGAGGAGGCCATGGCGGTACCAATCCGTGACGGTGCGGGCCCCACTTCCACGAGGTGGGGCCGACCAGGGGGGGCGGCGAGCTTGGCACGGGAGCGAACGCCTTTGCGGACAGCAGGACAGTAGCGAGCGTGGGAGTTCCCCTTCCCGGGTCGGTGGCACCCGCTGTGTTTTACGGTGAGAGCATGAGTTGCGAACCGGCGATTTCCCATACTGTTAACTGTTTGGATTCGTTTTCGCCTAGCATGGTGGCGGACACCACTCACGCCGAAAGGTCAAAAACAGTAGCTACGGGGGCGGACACCCTCGGCGCTAAGTACGGGTCAAATAACACACAAGCGGAGGACACCGAACGGGTGATAGATAAGTCAAACTATTGGCGGACACCAATTTGTGCGAATACTGACACAAACCGGGCGGACACCCGGGGTGAACATGCATTACCCTCACCCTCGCAAATGGTGGACGCCGTTCCCGCGAAACACTCACTAACGGAATACCTATTGGCGGACACCAATAGGGGGATCAATTACTGCTCTGCCTTGTACACCACGAAGACTGTGGCGGACACCACACGTGCTGAACACTGCAATGCAGTCGCCTCGGGGGCGGACACCCCGGGCGAATGTAATTGGCCCCGCGGCACGCAAGCGGTGGACGCCGCGAGCGTTGTCGGTAAACAAAAAATACTGGCGGACACCAGTAGTGTGCAGAAGGACATACACAGGNGTGGACGCCGCGAGCGTTGACGGTAAACAACAATACTGGCGGACACAAGTAGTGTGCAGAAGGACGTACACAGGCCGGACCACGTGTTTAAGAATTTGTCAGTCACACAGCCCCGATTGGCGGACACCATTCGCGGGAACGACACGGAATTGGCGGACACCATGACCGTGTCAAAAGCTCTCCCGGGGGGCGGACACCCCGGGGGAAGCACTGTTGGCACGTAGGGCTCTAGCGGCGGACACTGCTAGGGCCGCTGACATCACAAAAGTAATGCGAAATGATTGCGGGTCGAATTCAGCGACTTCTCACTTTGGGGCGGGGAAAGAACCTTCGGCCCTAGAGAGTCCAACAATTACAACCTCGTTGAAAAATTCAAAAGCTCTGACCGATGGACTCGAGGTACAGAGAAGCATACTCGTGTCAAGCATACACCCACTAGACGAGAAGCAATGTATCATTCGGAAGATGGCGGACATTGGTAGTGATTGGTAAAGCTCCACGATGGAAGGCTGGAAGACGTCGCGAGGGGAATCGGCGGCACTCTGGTGTCACCGCTGTTGGACGTGAGCGA